CTCCCCCATTCCATAATAACTACATGGATGAAGGTGTCACACATTTCATAATGGTATTCACGAAGACCAGAGGGAAATCAGCCAAAACCAAAGTATCCCGAATAAAGTCCCAGGACAAAAAATCATAAGCTTTCTCCAAGTCCACCTTGATCAACATAAAACCCCGTCTACCCGTCTTCCGTCTAAGAGAGTGGAGAACCTCCTGGGCAACCAGAATATTATCAGATATTTGCCGTCCCGGGACAAAACTCGCTTGGGCCAGATTAACAATATCTGGCAGTATGGGCTTCAACTGTTCCGTGAGAACCTTAGTAAGTAACTTGTAGATGACATTAAGCAAACTGATAGGCATGAACTGCTTCAAAGAGACTGGATTTTCCACCTTCGGAATCAATAAGTTATGTACCTTTCTTTATCTTCTCTCTGTTTTTTTTATTGAGCTTCTGTCTTCACCTTCTCTTCTTTCTCGGTTGCTGTTCAATTATCTGTCAACAGATATAATGTTTATCCTCTTTAATGCTTCCAAACATTTTATTTGGCAGTTAATAGAGTAAGTGGAGTAACTCAATTCAGATCAGTTAATGCATGTAACTTCTATTTTTTTTAAATTGATTTAAAAGTCAAAACTTTTCATTTGGAGCCTTTTTTATCGAGCCTTATAGTTATACGTTAAGTAAGATTAATTTGTACGTTTTTGGAAATCTCTATGAATCATATTTAATGGTATTATTTTTCAATAATGCAACGGTTATGTCCTTCGCATTGCTGTATGTGGCTCTCTTAGAGCATCTCCAACCGTGAACATGAATTGTACTGTATGTGGCAATTAAATAGATGATCTTCCGTCCAAGTGGAATAAATAGAGGTTCAAGTTCATAAATACTCTCCAGTTGTTTATTTCTATCTTTACATAATCCATTTATTTTGTTTGTAAATAAGGGAAAAAAATAACTGATTAAATCTAGAAGGACTTCTACATGTAGAAGGACTTCTAGAATTTTTGGTTATATTTCATGCCACATCATCATCAATAAAAATAAAAAAATCACGATTGGAGAAGTTTTTTTATTGCATGTCTTCTACAATCCTACAATTCACACACCGTTAGAGATACTCTTATTTCTTTCTCACCCAATTAAGACAGTTCCTCCAAAAGTCCAAATTCTTTCTTGTTTCCTCCAAAGCCCAACTCTTTAAATTGGGTTCCTCGGCCTAATTGGTAAACCACAAATTTTAGCCATGTCTTCGCAAAAAAATCTTTTTAGCCATTTTGAATCTTAAAAGGACAAAAATACCTTTACTAATATTTGTCCATTGCAATTGATACTGGAAGAGTCATTGTTGACAATTATCCTGGCATAGTGCTAATAATGGACTAGATCAAAAAGGGCTCAATTAAATTCTAGTGCATCTTCTATTAGTGAAGTTTCTAGAAAAAAAAAAAATATATCAAACGGCACAATGCACCTTGAGTCGCTACGGAAACATCATCCTTGTATAATTACAAGGGTAAGGTCTGCGTACAACTGACCCCAGACCCCAACTTGTTGAGAATATACTGAGTATGAGTATGTTGTTGTACCTTTGCTAATATATTTTTCTTATCTACCAAAATATATATATTTCTTATCTACCAAAATATATATATATATATATATACATATATATATATATATATTTTCTTAAACAAAAAAAAAATCATAAATATTCTCAATTTCATTCTCTCCTTTTCATCAAAAATATAAAATCATTCTCACCATATTCTCAAAATTCCGACAAATATTCCGGTGAAATCACGCCGACATCTCGAAAATATTAGTCTAAAAGTATATTTATAATTTATCAAGTATTTTTAATGGGTCAATTTCGTACACTCAGTTTAAAAAAAAAAATAGAAAAGCAATTTGAAAGAAATCGATTTCTAGTCCAAAAAAAAGTTCTCAGAAATCGATTTCTGGATTCCAAAAGAAATCGATTTATGGTCCCAGAAATGATTTTGAGACCAGAAACAATTTCCATGTTTCCAGAAATGTCTTACCAAAAATTGTTTATGTCCCATAAATTGCAGAAATCCCAGAAATCATTGAAATATCTTAGAAATGGTTTTTGGATCCCCAAAATAGTTTATGGGATCTCAGAAACGGTAAGAAACACCCCCAAAAACAATTTTTGAATCATAAAATCATTTGTGTGATTCCAAAAATTGTTTCTGGTTCAAATTTTATTTGTTTTATTATATAAGACATTGATTACCTAAAATACTTTTGCGTCTTTTTTTTTTT